TCTAGAACAAAAATTAGCTCCAGCTCTTGTCATAGTTGAGATTATACCTAATGATCGCTGTGAAACGAAAGGACTAATCTCAAACATACCCCCTTTATTGCTTGGCAGCTGCATAAGTTTCCAATTTAGAAAGAGAACTTTTAAAAATCAGTTAGAGAAACACCAACATCACTGAATTTCCTACTACATGAGTTCCTACAAAATCTAACTCTGCTCTATGCGCATGTGTTGTGTAGTAAGAAATTGCACTTTTACTCAAGGAACTCTTCCATTCTCTAGAAAATCAATAATAATTGCTAATGTCATCCGTTATCATATAACGTTAAACAACTATATTGGTTGTAAATTTGTACCATCTCTTACTCATCTTTATGGAATGATATTTATATCCTCTTTTGGTAAAGGAAATTCCTTCTTTAGCAATACATAATGCTTGTGAGCTTCTTGATAGAAGTTATAAATTTTGTGCTTGATGTTTTGTGATATGTGAAGATACCTCTAGTTTCCTTATTTCCTTTTTTGTAATTGCTCCTTTTGCCCCCTCTTTACAATGGCTAGTGTTACTTTGACAGTATGTTATATATATCAAAACCTTTTGTAATTGCTTCTTTTGCTCCTCTTTAATTTATGTGAATCAGTTCTACACATCATTGTTACCTTCTCCTTTATTAATTAGGTGACAAGTGTTGGAGTTCATAAAGATTCATTAGTGTCAGACTTGATGCAGGTACATAATTACCACTAAAAATTGATCACTGTCCCTCTGTTTACAATGTCGAAGAGTGGTGAGGTTTCATGGAAAAGTGAGAATTTGGGCAAGCGGAGATGGGATTTCGTGGTGTTCCTTGGGATACTGATACTTCATGGATTGGCTATTCTCGTCTTCACCAGAGGATTCCTCCTAACTCGCACTGAACTTTCACAATATAGTCACTGCTCTGATATTTAACAATCTCCATGCTTCTCTCCTCCTCAAGATGATCAAATGGTTAACCATTCCAAAGGGTGCTGGATGAAATCAGCCGTTGATCGAATTGTTATCATCGTTCTTGATTCTCTCAGGCATGACTTTGTTGCTCCAACTACCTTTTTTGATGAGAAAAAACCGTGGATGGACAGATTGCATGTGTTGCACAAGTTGGCATCTCAGCCAGGTTCATTTGCTAAGATCTTTAAAGCTATTGCTGATCCTCCAACAACCAGTTTGCAACGTCTAAAGGGATTAACAACTGGTGGACTTCCAACTTTTATTGATGTGGGTAACAGCTTTGGCGCACCAGCTATCATTGAAAATAATTTGATTTATCAGATGGCTAAGAATGGCAAGCGAGTTGTGATGATGGGGGATGACACGTGGGTTCAACTGTTTCCTAAACATTTTAATATATCTCATTCATTCCCTTCATTTAATGTTAAAGACCTTGACACGGTAGATAATGGCTGCGTTGAGCACTTGTTTCCATACTTGTATCAAGAAGATTGGGATGTACTTATAGCACATTTTCTTGGCGTGGATCATGCCGGACATATTTTTGGTGTTAATTCCACTGAAATGATAGAAAAGTTGGAGCAGTACAATGGAATTTTGGAGAAAGTTGTTGATGTCCTGGAAAGCCAAAGTGGACCTGACGGGTTACATGAAAATACTCTGCTTCTTGTGATGGGTGATCATGGGCAAACCATCAACGGTGATCATGGTGGAGGTGCTCCAGAAGAGGTTGAAACGTCACTATTTGCTATGAGTTTGCAAAAGAATCCGTCTTCCTTACTGTCTGGAACTGATAGCTCATCTTGTCGGCTTGACACAGAGAAGAGGAAGATATGCACTAGCTCCATTGAGCAACTTGACTTTGCTGCAACAGTATCTGCTCTGCTTGGCATTCCATATCCTTTTGGAAGCATCGGGCGTGTTAATCCTGAGCTGAATGCATTAGCTGCTGGTACTTGGAACTTGGACATCTTTACCCCTGAAAGTGGAATAAATCTCTCAGGATCAGAAAGGTGGATGCAGAACTACGTCAATGTCCTCTGCATGAATACATGGCAGGTGAAAAGATACATTGATGTATATTCAGCTTCATCAGTGATAGGATTTTCAGACAAAGATATGTCTCATGTATCGCACCTCTATGCTCAGGCCCATGATAATTGGTTACATACCAAAGAAGCTGTTTTGAATTGTAAAAGTAAAAGTTGTTCAACATTGTTACCTCAACTGAAGAAGCAAGTAGAAGCTTATTTTAATTTCCTGTCAAGTATTACTGCACTTGCTCGTTCCAAATGGACAGAATTCAATCTAAAGATGATGGGCACTGGTTTATGCATCTTGTTGCTCTCTCTTTTTGTTCACATTTTCACCATCAAGAAATTGGACAAACTATGCAGTTGCTATCTTCCTCGTGGTGGAAATTTTGTAGTTTCTTTTGAGGCTATTTTTGCTTATGCTGCTGTGCTGATTCGTTCTTTCAGTTTTCTTTCAAATAGTTTCATCTTGGAGGAAGGTAAAACAACAAGTTTTCTGTTTGCCACGGCTGGAATGCTTCAATTATGTAATGCAATAGTAAAAAAGAAGATGTTACTTGAAGGACTTCTTTTTGTTCTGGTGGTTCCTCTTCTCAGATTTGGTATTGAACTTGGACAGTCAAAGTAGGCTGTCAATTCTTTATTTTTGAAGTCATTTGCTTCATGGACTGTAAGCGTTGACAACGGCACCAACTTATGGATTTATGTTGCTGATATATTACCCTTTTTAGCTCTTGTCATTTTAGCTTATATATTTTATTACAAGAGCATCAGGCACAGTTCTTGTCGGGGGATATTCAAGTTAGTTGCCATTGGAACCATATTTGCTTCTTCTCTTGTAGCTCTGGCTTGGGCTTTAGATGGTAACTTATTCAGCTCAAGCACAATTATTGTGGATATAAAAGCATATTGGATTCCTTGAATCATCTGTGTTATTGGTCTTCTGCAATTATTTTTATTAGCAATATCTCAACTTTTTGGTAAAGAGAAGACTTCAGGTTGGGAGGAAGATACAATTGTTAAAGCAACTGCCATGTTATCAGCATGGAGTTCAACAATACTCATTTTATCCGGGAAACAAGGTCCTCTAGTTGCTCTAGCAGCAGTAATTCAAGGGCGGTGTGTAATTAGGTTGATGACGTTGGAGCGAGCAAAGAATGACTATTACGACAGTTCAACTTCATATTCTTCTCCGGTGGCAAAATGGAGTCTATTAGCTGTGTGTCTGTTTTTCTGCACTGGACATTGGTGTGCCTTTGATGGCCTCCGCTATGCTTCCGCATTCGTTGGATTTGATGAATTCAACCTTATTCATCAAGCTTCCCTGCTTACCATAGATACATTTGGTTTCTCCCACATTCTTCCAGTAATGGGACTTCCACTTGTTGTTGCTTGCCGACGACATCCAGAAGTCCAGGCTGAGAAAAGGAAACCACTGTTTTTTCTCCAGTTATGCCAGGTCTATTTGATGTACGGACTTACTATGGCTATATCTATGACACTTACAATTATATGTGTTACGATTCAAAGGCGACACTTGATGGTATGGGGTTTATTTGCTCCAAAGTTCGTCTTCGATGCTGTGGGTCTTCTTCTTACGGACCTCTTCATATGCCTCGCATCACTGTACTATTTTGCATGACCAAATAAACTAGATGAAGAATTAAGCATTATGGAGGTGATCTTTCAGCAATTTCATCGGACAATCTTACAAAGTTCTTCCATTAACATCGGCATATCGTCCTCGCTAAGGTAACTCCCCATGCAATTGCATCGGAATATAGTTCATTCTTGGAAATAGAAGAAAAGTGAAGATAGTAGAGTAACATTTTGTTATATTCTAATTTATTCTCAGATTTTGATTGATTGATTATAGATTTATAGTTACCATTTAAGGCTTTGTCCTTAAGTGGGTAAATTTTGATGGATTATTAAAAGGTTATATTGAGGTTAGAATTTTTTTAGCGGGGGCAAGAACACCTGATGATTTCTTTCCATTAGGCCAAGCCTTACTAGACAGAGTGACTTGGTACTTGTACTATGTTTCTTTTTATTCAAAAGAGCATTTTCACTCTAAAACTGAGCTCTTCTATTTGAGTTATTTCTGTTATTTACCTCTCCTCTCTTTGAATGTTTGAATGTTATCCTTTCTTTTAGTCCTGTCTATGAATGTCCTACTATTATTCTGTGTTGGTGAGAGATAGTAGGTACCTCATAAAATTAGTCGAAGGTGTGCACAAGCTGCCTCGGATGCCACCGTTTTAGAAGAAAGAGAAGGTGACAAAGTTGTTATGTTATGAAGGGAATATCTCCCTTCTTGCTCAGTAACAGAAAATAGAGACGAAATATTGCTGGATGTGTGTCGGATCTTTAAAAATAATGCATTTTTAGGATCCGATATGGGTGTGGTGACATTTTTGGGAGTCCGAGCAACATAGCTTATAGTCCCTATTGGACTGGAGAAGTACAAATCCTTCCCACATTTCAGTCAATCTTTTCCTTTGGATTCAAGAATTCACAGCAAGCAGGATGGAATGGAATGAGATTCCAAATTCTGAGCTCTCCGTGCTCATGTTTTCTGAGTGCCCAGTTAAAGTAAAAAAGGACTGGGCTTAGGCTTGAAATAAGCACCCATTGCTTATCTAGTAACAAATACTAAACTATTCAAACTGAAATCCATTTAGAGAAGCTTCTGGACTGCTCAACCTCAACTACTTCTCGTTTGTCAACCTCAGTTCAGTTGAGTATATGTTCAAGTGGGGGACAAAAGGCTAGGGAAACATCAGGAGTGGGTGTCAGATCACGACATATAGTTTTCTTCTTAACCATTCTAACATATTGGTGATAAAGGCTAAGATAAATAGCGAGCACAAGGAGAGTTGTTTCACATAAGCTATTTTCTAGCATATAATTCACGAGCACATTATACAGATGGGATAAAATTTCACTTATCAAACTTCTGTTACTCTGCACAAACATCAGAGTGACCAGGGGATAAATGGACATCTGAAAGATTGTAGGAGTAAAATCTGTTGCAGCTCAGAGACAGCCTCTCAAGAGTTTCATCAGAAAGAACTAAAAGAACAGTAAACACAAAGATACAAAACTACAACTTATATGCAGTGGCAACCAAAGTCTCATTCTTTTGACACCTGAAGATAGACCATTTGAGTGTAACCATTGATCACAGATGCCTCCAGTCCAGATAAGCCAAGCCTCTGAAACAAGCCATACCTGCCATCTTCAACAATAGGACTTGATGCACAAGCAGGATCGTATCTCAACTGGTGAGTTAATGAAGGACCAGCCACAGGTGGAAGCTCCCAGTAAACATCTAAAACTGACTCTACAAACCTACTATTTTTAAAATGTTCTGCATAAGAAATGGCCTTATTGCTGTGGTTAAAATCATCCCGCATTTGCCCTCTCACACCCCACCAAGCTTCACCAGGACCGCAAAGTTCATCAATATTAACAGCCTTCTCCCAGATTTCTTCCTTAGGTTCCTTGTAACTATCCATGACTCTTTTGTAAATTTTGGAGATGGCTAGCATAGCCCTGAATGCTGAGGAATACAACTTTTACCAATTTCAAAAAACTAAAGTCACAAATATTTTCACGAATTGAAAAGACATTCGTATAGAGAATTGGCATGGTCTAGGCATAGCATAACGAATTTACTCATATTACTCGGATCAGAAAACTCTGCAAACAAAATTGTGGCAGCCATTGGATTTTCAAAAAAAAAAAAAAAAAAAATTTCAAAAAAAAATTGTGGTAAGCCATTGGTCTGTTCTCTTTGTAGAAGATTTTGCAATTCTGGTTGCTCTTCATCTTGCGAGACTCGGTGAGTTCATCTATCTCTTCTCATATTTTAAATTTAGTTCTAATATGTGTTACTCGAGTCGAGGGGTAAATAGTACTAGGCAAGTCCCATGAACGAGCTCGATCTTGAAAGCCAATAAGGGGTTTGGAACTTGAGACCCTCTATTATGGAAGTCCAAAGCCGAACCATTTGAGCCATCCTGAAGGGTTTGAACCTAAGACCATGGACTAACCAAATTTAGCTAACTGTAATCTTGATGAACACACTAGATTCTGATAGGATGAACAAAGAAAGGTCTCGAAGAGGTGCAATTGGCTGGCATGGTACCTTCTGCTTCTGATCAGGTAACTAAGTCTCTTAGTGTACAACATAGTCAAATGTATGATCTGGTGCTTTCTATTATTATGTTTAGTTTACTTTTCCCCAGCAAACTCTGGAATTGGTCATAAAATGTTGAAATGTCCACAATCACCAAAAAGCATCTTCGTGCTTGCCTTCCCTATAGAAAAATACTCTGTGGCGTCATTACTGCCAATAACTTAGATGAGTTATAGGGATATATGGTTTTGTTTGTTCAACATGTCTGTTTTACTGTTTGATCTTTGTTATTTTCAGTTTGATTGGGAAGGAGATCTACCACTGAAGTTTCCACAGAGAGATCTTGTAATCTATGAAATGCATGTTCGTGGGTTTACAAATCATGAGTCGAGTGAAACAAAATATCCTGGTACTTACCTTGGTGTTGTGGAGAAACTTGATCACTTGAAGGTGAACACTTGGTTGTTATAATATTATATGTTATAATCTGTAAGCTTAGCATATGATTGATTTTTTCAGTAGTAAGTTCTAGCTTAACTGATATTGTTAGATCAAGAACAACTTTTGGATACACCGAAATTTGAAGACGTCTATGTGGATGTTTTTCCTCTTTTATCTTAGTGAGGGGTCTACATTCATACATTGTATTGCTAGGGTTTTTGGCTTTTATCAATAGTTAAATGATGGACAATTGGCCCAATTTTTTTCTCTGTGTAAATGAATACACGAGAATTATAGTTGTGAGAGGAGACACTTTATTTATCTATTTAGGCCCATAACAATAAAAAATTAAAACTGAAGTGCAAGCAGATATAGCAAAAATTAGGAAAGCATACCCTAAGGAAGGAATCTTCACTTAGGGGGTAAGGCTGGAAGATTTATGACCTATTTGGGGATGATGAAAAGGGGCAGGTACTAGATAGAAGTGACACCTGTAACTGTTAAAAGAGACAAGGAATTGAAATCGAACATCTTTCCCTAAGGCCATGAAACTTTACCTAGTTGGGTTGCATCAGATAAATGTAAGCATGTAAATAATACTTCTGAAAGTCTGAAAATTATGAAAGATATCCAACTATTTTAAAAGTGCAAAATTATTCGTGGCATTTAAGAAAACAAATCTGTTTATGGCTGGAGATCTCCTAGATTGATTAACTAGGCCAAAATGCTTTATCAAAAAAAGAAAAGGCTAAAACAATAAAAAATAATAATACATAAATACGCCCTTTAACTTGGCCTCATTTTACATTTATTGTCCTCCAACTTTGGGTGTGCACAAGTAGACACTTAAACTTGTATAAAGTTAAACAAATTGTGTCTACTTGTTCAACTTTACACAAGTTTAAGTGTCTATTTGTGCACATCCAAAATTGGAGGGCATATATGTGAAATGAGGCCAAGTCAAAGGGCATATTTATGTTTTATGCCTAAAAAAGTAGACTAAACCATGAGTATCTCAGATTGCTGCTTCATTTTGGGTGCTATATTAATAAACTCAACAAAATAAAGTAGTACCATGGGGTGTTGTCAAAAGTGAAAAGGGTCAAAGTCCAAGGTCTGGTAGGGAAAGCATGAAACTGTGCAAGCTCTAATACTTTCCAATACATTATTTCTTGAATTTCGGAGTTCATTATAGGAAATGTCAGAATCTGACTCTGATAAGTTGGATAATTGGTTATCTGGTGGCTATGTTAGAGTTTGCCTTAATTTAAGTTGATAATAACTGGATAGCACAGAAGTTTTTATTGCTTGCTGGTAGATTATCTGTGTAAAAATATAAGTGAAAGTATAAAGGTTTTCTAACAGAAAATGTATATGAATGAAAATTTAGTAGTCTTGAAACAGCCATATTTTTATATTTCTACCTCATTGAATTTGATAGTTGCCTTTTATTAAGTTCATACATTTCAGATTAATTTGACCATAAAGGTTTATTCCATGATTGTCAAATTTCACTTCATTAGATTTTGAAACTTCAGCAGCTTTCGTATATGTGATATAGAATAATTTATTTGTTGTGCATCTTAAGAGAATTCCATGTTCTGCAGGAACTTGGTGTCAACTGTATAGAGCTAATGCCCTGTCACGAGTTCAATGAGCTGGAGTACTATAGTTATAACTCTGTATTGGGCGACTACAAGTAAATCCCATCTTCACTTCGCAAAGAGTGACTTTCATGCTTTGAACTTATTGGTCTAGGAACATTATAGAAGTTTAACTTGTAAGACCACACAGTATGTTATCACACATTTGATATATGAAATGTAAATGATTAAGAATTTGAATTTCAGGTTCATAACTCTCACTTAGATGAATTACTTGCATTTCAGTTCTAAACGTGGTATTCTGATTAGCTTATGTCATGCTTGAGAGATCCTTTAAATTCACAAAATCTTGGAAGAAGATTGTTACATTTTACCTGTCTAGCTTTGCATGTTTAACCTTTTCTGTCAGCAAAGTTACTTTGTCCTTGTCCAAAGAAATCAGAATACTCTTAGGTTCAGAAAATAACCCCCTGCTCAGCTACCTAGAAATATTCCAACTGAATTAGAATGGGGAGGACCTTAGATTATATCCCACTTCAATGATTCAAGTGATGAATGCAGAAGCCTGCTGTTGTGTGGACTATGTTTCGCCGCTAGTTTGATTGCTTTGTGGCAAAACCAGTCCAGGTAATCATAAGTTGAATGAATGTTAATTTAATACATAAGTGAGGCTGAATCAGTAGACAGTAGTGTTGGGAGGTGATTATTTTTTCCTACTTCTTTGGGTACTACAACAACTTACCCGGTATATTAACACAAGTGGGGTATGAGGAGGGTGGGGTGTACACAGACCTTACCCCTAATGTAACTAACTGATGTTCCCTATTTTGATCGCGGGAGGGGGTTCTTTTATTTCTTTTTTCTTTGGAGGTGGGGCGGGTGGTATGACAGTTCTGAAATTAAACTAATTGATGCTGTTCCAAATCCCATTTATTGACATAATGTTATAACTGGATTTAGTTAATGTGACAAGTCTAGCTCATAAAAGACTGATTAAGAATCTCTTCACATCCAAATATTGCTAGATGGCTTAGAAAGGTAAAAGTCAAATGGGACAAATTGAAGAGAGATTCTATGAGAAGAGTAGAGAGCATACTTTTGAAAGAGTCCTCTTAAGAATAATGTGCAATGATCGCCAGAATGATCTTGCATGCAGGGATTGTAGACAGTTGATTTGGATGTCACTTTTTCATTGAGCCCATATCTGAGATTTGAACCTGATTTTTCTGCATAGGATTAAGTGCGAAAGTGATGCTAAGCTCTTATGGTGATAACTTTCAGTCACTTACATTTAAAGATATTTTAGGCTTAATTAGTCAATACCAGTGTTCTTAATGGCGCTCGCCATTCGCCAAAGGCGAGAAGGCGAGGCGAGGCGAGCATGTCGCGCCATTTCCCAGTGAGGCGCGGCGAGATCAATTAGGCGATGTGAGGCGACGTGAGGCGACGTAAAGGCGACGTGAATGGCGGCGCCTTTTAGTATTAAAATTTTAAAAAGGTCTTGACTTAATAATATTAGTCAAAATTAGGGTTTTTTTCATATTTCCAAAATTGGGACTCAGACGCGACTCTCTTCTCCTTCAACCTCGCGATTCTCTGCTTCTCCTTCAGTCACGACTTGCGATACTCTTCTTCTCCTTCAACCTCGCGATTCTCTGCTTCTCCTTCAGTCACGACTTGCGATACTCTTCTTCTCCTTCAACCTCGCGATTCTCTGCTTCTCCTTCAGTCACGACTTGCGATACTCTTCTTCTCCTTCAACCTCGCGATTCTCTGCTTCTCCTTCAGTCACGACTTTCGTCTTCTCTTACTTTCTCCTTCAACTGCTTTCTCAAAAAAAATAAAAATTTGAGATACTATTGCTTTCTGCGGTTCTGCCTTCTCTGCTCTGTTTGTTTCCTCTTTTTCTTCAATGCTCTGTTTTCTTTCCTCTGTTTTCTTTGTTCACTGTAATATTTATTTTTTTTGATAAAAGTAACATTTGTTCACTGTAATATGCTGCTGAATGTTACTGCTTTCAGCCTTTTACTGTGCTGCCTATTATTTTATTTTTAAAAAAATTCTTCTATAGTAATTAATAGTAATTACTAATTAATATGGTATATGACTATATGTTGTATTATACAATAGTGAATTCACTGTAATATTTTTTTTTTTTTATAAAAGTAACATTTGTTCACTGTAATATGCTGCTGAATGTTACTGCTTTCAGCCTTTTACTGTGCTGCCTATTATTTTTTTTTTTTTTAAATTCTTCTATAGTAATTGATAGTAATTACTAATTAATATAGTATATGACTATATGTTGTATTGTACAATAGTGAATTCACTGTAATATT